AGTGTTGTCCTGACACTTGTGTGGTGTAAGGTAGTGTCCTGACACTTGTGTGGTGTGAGGTAGTGTTGTCCTGACACTTGTGTGGTGTGAGGTAGTGTTGTCCTGACACTTGTGTGGTGTGAGGTAGTGTTGTCCTGACACTTGTGTGGTGTGAGGTAGTGTTGTCCTGACACTTGTGTGGTGTGAGGTAGTGTTGTCCTGACACTTGTGTGGTGTGAGGTAGTGTTGTCCTGACACTTGTGTGGTGTGAGGTAGTGTTGTCCTGACACTTGTGTGGTGTGAGGTAGTGTTGTCCTGACACTTGTGTGGTGTAGGTAGTGTTGTCCTGACACTTGTGTGGTGTGAGGTAGTGTTGTCCTGACACTTGTGTGGTGTGAGGTAGTGTTGTCCTGACACTTGTGTGGTGTGAGGTAGTGTTGTCCTGACACTTGTGTGGTGTGAGGTAGTGTTGTCCTGACACTTGTGTGGTGTGAGGTAGTGTTGTCCTGACGCTTGTGTGGTGTGAGGTAGTGTTGTCCTGACACTTGTGTGGTGTGAGGTAGTGTTGTCCTGACACTTGTGTGGTGTGAGGTAGTGTTGTCCTGACACTTGTGTGGTGTGAGGTGGTGTGAGGTAGTGTTGTCCTGACACTTGTGTGGTGTGAGGTAGTGTTGTCCTGACACTTGTGTGGTGTGAGGTAGTTGTTGTCCTGACACTTGTGTGGTGTGAGGTAGTGTTGTCCTGACGCTTGTGTGGTGTGAGGTAGTGTTGTCCTGACACTTGTGTGGTGTGAGGTAGTGTTGTCCTGACACTTGTGTGGTGTGAGGTAGTGTTGTCCTGACGCTTGTGTGGTGTGAGGTAGTGTTGTCCTGACACTTGTGTGGTGTGAGGTAGTGTTGTCCTGACACTTGTGTGGTGTGAGGTAGTGTTGTCCGACACTTGTGTGGTGTGAGGTGGTGTGAGGTAGTGTTGTCCTGACACTTGTGTGGTGTGAGGTAGTGTTGTCCTGACACTTGTGTGGTGTGAGGTAGTGTTGTCCTGACACTTGTGTGGTGTGAGGTAGTGTTGTCCTGACACTTGTGTGGTGTGAGGTAGTGTTGTCCTGACGCTTGTGTGGTGTGAGGTAGGGGTTGTCCTGACACTTGTGTGGTGTGAGGTAGTGTTGTCCTGACACTTGTGTGGTGTGAGGTAGTGTTGTCCTGACACTTGTGTGGTGTGAGGTAGTGTTGTCCTGACACTTGGTGTGTGTGAGGTAGTGTTGTCCTGACACTTGTGTGGTGTGAGGTAGTGTTGTCCTGACACTTGTGTGGTGTGAGGTAGTGTTGTCCTGACACTTGTGTGGTGTGAGGTAGTGTTGTCCTGACACTTGTGTGGTGTGGTAGTGTTGTCCTGACACTTGTGTGGTGTGAGGTAGTGTTGTCTTGACACTTGTGTGGTGTGAGGTAGTGTTGTCCTGACACTTGTGTGGTGTGAGGTAGTGTTGTCCTGACACTTGTGTGGTGTGAGTTAGTGTTGTCCTGACACTTGTGTGGTTGAGGTAGTGTTGTCCTGACACTTGTGGGTGTGAGGTAGTGTTGTCCTGACACTTGTGTGGTGTAGAGTAGTTTGTCCTGACGCTTGTGTGGTGTGAGGTAGTGTTGTCCTGACACTTGTGTGGTGTGAGGTAGTGTTGTCCTGACACTTGTGGGGTGTGAGGTAGTGTTGTCCTGACACTTGTGTGGTGTGAGGTGGTGTGAGGTAGTGGTATGTCCTGACACTTGTGTGGTGTGAGGTAGTGTTGTCCTGACACTTGTGTGGTGTGAGGTAGTGTTGTCCTGACACTTGTGTGGTGTGAGGTAGTGTTGTCCTGACGCTTGTGTGGTGTGAGGTAGTGTTGTCCTGACACTTGTGTGGTGTGAGGTAGTGTTGTCCTGACACTTGTGTGGTGTGAGGTAGTGTTGTCCTGACATTTTTGTGTGGGGGTAAGGTAGTGTTGTCCTGACACTTGTGTGGTGTAAGGTAGTGTTGTCCTGACACTTGTGTGGTGTAAGGTAGTGTTGTCCTGACACTTGTGTGGTGTAAGGTAGTGTTGTCCTGACACTTGTGTGGTGTAAGGTAGTGTTGTCCTGACACTTGTGTGGTGTGAGGTAGTGTTGTCCTGACACTTGTGTGGTGTGAGGTAGTGTTGTCCTGACGCTTGTGTGGTGTGAGGTAGTGTTGTCCTGACACTTGTGTGGTGTGAGGTAGTGTTGTCCTGACACTTGTGTGGTGTGAGGTAGTGTTGTCCTGACACTTGTGTGGTGTAAGGTAGTGTTTGTCCTGACACTTGTGTGGTGTGAGGTAGTGTTGTCCTGACACTTGTGTGGTGTGAGGTAGTGTTGTCCTGACGCTTGTGTGGTGTGAGGTAGTGTTGTCCTGACACTTGTGTGGTGTGAGGTAGTGTTGTCCTGACACTTGTGTGGTGTGAGGTAGTGTTGTCCTGAAAACTTGTGTGGTGTGAGGTAGTGTTGTCCTGACACTTGTGTGGTGTGAGGTAGTGTTG